TATATATATCTCAGTAAAAGCTTATAGCCATCTAGAAATTGACTTGCACCTTTGGAGTTTATTTTGCTAATAAAGAACCTTTGGCATTTGAAACTCTGAAGATCCCGTTTCATTTTACACATAAAACTTCTTGTATCATAGAAGTTCTCTTTTGCCAAAAAGAAAAGGGGAATACTCTTACTTCTCATTCCCCAAATAGATTTAATTAGTGATTTTCTTGATAAGTGAGTTTCAGAAATACAAATTTTATGCAATGTTGGTTTTTAATACAAATTATTTATTCTTATGGTCCTACCTGATTCATTTTGAAGGTATTTGGATCCAATTTACTATGGGGACTACCCCTTGGCCATGCGTGAGCGTGTAGGAGATCTGCTTCCAAAATTATCAGAGGCAGATAAGGAGTTACTGCAGAATGCAACTGACTTTGTTGGTCTGAACCACTATACAACCAGATTTGTTGCTCATGCAGAAAACCAAAGAGATATTCATTTCTATCAAGTACAAGAATCAGAGAGGATAGGTATTTACATCAAGATCTCCAATAATTTTTCTTATTATGGTTTTCTTATGTACATTGGAAGAAATTTAGTTCCAGAACATTCTCTGATTCTTTGCCAGTTCAATCCGAAATGTTCTTTAAATACAGCATTTAAAATATAACAAGAGGGCATTGCTTATAGTAAATCTTTTGTAGTATCCTTTGTTTCCATTTTCTTACATGAATATTTAAAGACTAAGCTATTGTTTTGACTTTTGAGTGTGAACCAGTTAAGTCTGTTTTGGTGAAACAGCTAAATGGCACAGTGAACAAAAATAATTCATCTACATGTCAACTTTGTCGATTTTAATGCCTTTTTTTTATTGCTATGAAACAGCTAAATGGCAAAGTGGTGAACCAATTGGTCAAAGGGTAAGAAATATCCTTCCATCGTTCTCTATCATACAAATTCAGGACACTTTTACATTCGTTGGTTTTGTACAGCAATGAGTTATTAAAAAATACTCTTTTTCATGTGATAACCATTGTACTAGAAATATGAGCAACTTTGTTTAAATAAACTGTATGTTTCAGGCTGCATCAGAATGGCTCTACGTAGTTCCTTGGGGCTTCCAGAAGGTTCTTAACTATATAGCAAAGCGTTACCACAATCCTCCATTATATGTCACCGAGAATGGTTATCTCCTGACTCTTTTAGCCATTGATTCCTTGTGAATTTTGAAATTTAAATGTGTAGATGTAAGGAATTGGTACTGTTATTTCCAAAGGTTCTATAAATGGTTGCCTCACCCATAAAGCTCATACTACTTGGTCTCTTGCATGGTAATAAAGATTTTATGCAGATTGCTGCATACATTGTAGTCAATGACCCAAAATGAATGGCCTCAAATGACACCTTTTGCTTTAAGAATAGACATCTACAGCATCAAATATGTATTCTTTCTTTAATCTTGTTTAACAAGACTGGTAAAAAATTCTGAATGTACACAAAGTTGTTTAACTTGGCAGCTATAGACAAAGATAACATGAAACAGTGTTCAACTTATTTAGTTTCATTGAAATGACTACAGTTGCATTTCAATCAATTTACACATGTCAATAACATTCAGTGATGAAGTTATAGTTAATTGAATCTTAACAGGAAACTATTACTTTTTTGGTTACGTTGTTTCTTCTTAAAAATCAGGTAAATTTTATATAATCAGTCATGCTACTGCATCTCGAAAGAAAACTCCAAATCTGTTCATGCTTTTCTTTAAGTTACCATGTTATAATTAATCAATCTCCTTTATTGACAGGCATGGATCAAGAAGAAACCGAAACAGCAAGTCTTGAAGAGGTCCTAGATGATAAAATGAGAGTCAGATACTATCAGACATACCTTGCAGCAGTTGCACAAGCAATCAGGTACATTATAATAGATGCATCTCCTTCTAGACCATTTTGTTTAAACAATTTTTTTATCAAAGGTAGCGGTCTGTGATCTAGATTGCATTCACGATTGAGATCATAAATTGTTTGTGATCTGGAACATTCAAACCAGTGTTGCAATAATCCTAACAGGAAAGGGGAAGGGGAAAGGAAAGGAAAAGACACACAAAACCATTAACTTCTTTTATAGACTTTTATGGGGCTTCAAAATTGTCACATGCATACAATTATGATTAATTACATTTTATTACAGTTTTGGTTAATCTTACAAAAGTTTAATCCTTGAATATACATGCATCATTCTTTATGTGATTGATAAAATACATTTTAGATAAACGTATGCTGTTTTTATTAGATGTGTTCGTGTTGTCTTTAGTGAACATGTATTCCATGACAATTTAAGAGTTCAATCTAGATGGAGTTATTAAAGAATTATACATGTCTGTGATTATTATGCTGTGAGAATTTTGTCATAGCCATGCACATCCATTAATTTCGTCAATAACATTCCTAGACAGTAAAGTCATAAGGTATATAAAACTAACATTTGATTGATTGAGCAGACATAATCATCTTATCTAGTGTGTTTGGTGCAGGGATGGTGTTGATGTTCGTGGATATTTTGCATGGTCATTCTTGGACAATTTTGAGTGGGCCGAAGGATATACTAAAAGGTTTGGACTGGTCTACGTTGATTATAAGAATGGTCTTACAAGGTACCCAAAATCATCAGCACTTTGGTTTTCAAGCTTCTTGAAGGCTAATGAGCAAGATGTTGTGAAGGAGATCAACCAAGCCTAAGACCTAATGCTAAGATGTGAACACACTTGTAATCTCATCTCTTCATGTTACTATGCAGACAATGTCTTATATAGTCTCTGCTCAATTGATCATGCTACTTGACTGACATGATTAAGTTTGTTGGGACTTTATCTGCTTGTTATCGTTGTTGATTTGGGCAGTAAAATTCCTGAGATACATTAGCCTATATTAGATAAACATATTGGCTTAGATGTGAAACTTCAGTTTTCTGGGGCTAATGTATCTCCGATTATCCAACAACAACAACAAGCTGAAATGTCTCAACTATTTGGGGCAATTATACATTAGGATGTTTTCATCTCAAATAATTGTTGACAAAATGGGAAAGAAAGCATTGGCTGTGGCCATGCAATTTCATCTGGTATTTCTGTACATATCAACTGCATGTTGAATTTTCCATGTGGATTTTACATATCAACAAGCATGGATAAAGAGTTTGATACTGAACATAAGGGTTAACAAGCAAAGTTGTGATGGAACTTAGATAGCATAAGTAACGTCAGATGGATAATGTGCATTGAGACTGTATTCATTTTGATACAATAACATGACATGTACATCATTAAGAAAATCGATTGCATCAAATTCAACATTAATTATCAGCAATTGTGGCTGATAAAATGTGACCAGTAGAACAAATTTGTCTTTTGTAGCCGATCATGATTAAGATACCAATTCGTGCTACTGATTCATGGGTTGGAAGCATATCTTCTCTTTGTTCGTTACATTTTTGTTTTCAGATACAAGTACCCTTTTTTCCCCTAAAAAGCTGTACTGTTAGTATGTTGCCTACTTTATGATATCTCAATTCGGACAATTAATTCAATTATATGGTTTTAGCCTTTGACATGCCTATCTCTTTTGGATGCAAGTGTCTTTTTCCTTGAAATGTTTGCTGTGCCAATATTTTGTTCTTTTTTGCAATCCACATAAATCCAAATAATCCTAATTTGACTTCTTGTATTTTTTAGCTAAATCTTTAAGGATTTATCTTGTATAGGAGCTCTAAACATTTGGCTTCTTGAGTTGATGGTGTATGTATTTCTGTTGAGGTGAATCTAAATATACAAAGAGCAAAATAAATTTCTTAAAGTTGCCAAGAAGAAACTACAAACACTTTTGACAAAAACATCCATCACATTGACTTGTATGATGATTGTTTTAATTGTGGCATTTAAGATTGCTTACATTATAGACTTGGAATAAGAATTTTAGTATGATGATTGTTTTAATTGTGGCATTTAAGATTGCTTACATTATAGACTTGGAATAAGAATTTTAGTAAGATTATTTGCAATAATTTGTCCAATAATCTTGTTTTGTATGATTTTTTGCTAATTTTGCATAGTATATGATTTAATCAACAGATTAGATATAATAAAATATTCTTTTATAAGGTTATTAACTTATACCAAAATTTATAACACGACTTATTACAATATAATATTGGATAATATTTATCGATTCGATGGTAAATCGACCCGTATAGACAACTTTGCATAAGCCACTTGCTAGTAGTTCTTTTTTTAATCTTTTTTTTTATTTTTTTAATTTGGTGTGCACCAGTACTAATTGATAAATATCGACACACTGATATGTAGTAGTATGATATCAGAACCTTGAAAATTATAAATACTAATGTGAGTATAGAGAAATTATAACTTGGTAAATGGCTAAGCAACATGTGAGGATTCATAGGCTTTTTTTTAAAGAAAAGGATGAGTTGGTGCTATCATTTCTCACAGATCAAAAATTTGTGTAGAGATCTCAAATGTCTTTTTTTTTTTCAACAATAAATATGAATCAGAATATAAAAAAGTACACAGGATGATGCTTCAATTGTGTATTTCAACTGTGAACAAGAAAATGTACACTGTAGCAGAAGGTTGTGTTTATCATGCACATCTGCAGGAAAACATGATGAGGCCTTCCACCTTTTCTCATTATTTCCTGCAAATCAATGATGACATCTTGTCAAATGAAATAAAAGACGGTAACCAACTACAACAGCATGAATGGAAAAAAGGCAGATGAATTATGTTTGGACTGTGGATACAACCATAATGAGTGCTTAAGAAAGCCTCAAACAGCTACCTGGAGCTCTTGGATTCATACATGAGATGAAGAAGTACCCAACTAGCAAAGTTTAGGAAAAATATGTAGTTGATGACTAAACCTGATAATATATTAGGTGCAACACAGGGAAAACATAGATCACAAGATAAAAAGCTTTTTTTTTTTTTCATCCAAGTGTTATCCAAGACCAATTCTATGCTATATTCTTTTTTAAATAATAACAATAACTTTTTTGCCTTGTAATTAAGTTTGTAGTTGGAAAAACAACATATACTTGCTAAGCATTTTATTCAAGAATATGTCTTGCATTATATATACAATTATGCAAAATACATGCCTATCAATACCCAATATAATAGTAAAGGTAGGACAAATAGTTATAAAACTAGATGAGAGAGAATTGTGCTATTGATCTAGATCAACCGAATGCACTATTTTGATTGAAAAAAGATCCCCATAAAAGGCGTAACTTTCTTTTGTAAAGTGTCCAAAGGAATGAATCATAATTCTTTTTTTAAGAAAAATGAATCTAGTGGACAAAGCTAAGGAGTGTGGAGGGGGTCAATGCATGGTGTCTTCACCTGTCTATCAATAGAGAAACTAACTACATGATCACTTTCTCATTAATAACATAAGAAATATTCAAGAATGCTCATATATTTTCCCACATGAATCCTCATCTTCTTGAAGTACATGAATGAGTGCATACCAGGGGAGTTTAAAGGTCTCTTTCCAACTTCCCTGCTGCTTAGAACAGGCAGCATAGATTCTATCAAGTCGAACAATTATCTCCGAAAAGGTCGGTCTCGCGATAGGCTCGGGATCCCAACACTCTTCGATCAACCTGCCATGATAAACAGACGATTTGATGAACAGATCTCCTACCAATATATTGTTTTCTTTTTATGTAGTCGATCTTAAATTATTGAAACAAATAATAGGATGATATGATTATAGTGAAGCTAAGACATCAATTATTTAAGATTAAGAAAAGAAGCAATATATAATACTAACATTTCCTAAGCTAGAGAAATACTTTGAAGCAAAAGATCACATAATTTTTGGTTCCACATTTAATTAATATGGTAAATATTCATACACATCAGGTTCTAAAATTCTCAGTTTCTGAGTAAAACACACCAAGAATTTAAATGTATTACATGGAAAAAAAATGTTTTAAGAAGTGATAGAAAGGGGGGCACATAAAAATATCTTATGTTTTGGAAGGCATGGACACAAATACCAACTTTAATGCCATGGAATTTGTTGGGTATTAATGCATATGCCACAAGTCTAAGGGAGGGATACATGTATGCAGAAAAACCTAAAGAATACTTAACCTGGTAAGCTATTTAGTAGTTTGATTCGTGAATTCTAGCATGTAATACACGACAAATGCTAAGGTTTCAGGTTTTTTATTTGTTTGTAGAAGATTATATCTACTAAATAATTTGAATTTATTTGAAGCATATTTCTCAGAAATTATATATGCATATTATGGAAGAAATCACATTGGTTTAGAAGAACTTTAATAAGTCAAACTTACTCCTTAACCTCTGGAGGATAACTTTTAGATTTGTTCTTCAATGGAGGTCTCATGCCTTTCAAGCAAATCAATCTTGAAGCTTCTTCTGGACTCTTTGGGTGGAAAGCTGGTGCTCCTTCGATCATCTGGAACCATCAAGTGAGGAAATTAATCGTGTTTGGATCTCTAGATCAATAAATGAGAACCAACCCATAAAATTGATGAAAATTACCACAGAATTATCTTAACTATGTTAATCAACTAATATAATTTATATTGAATACTACTACATGAGGTTCCAAAATCGAGAGGTAAAATGAAGACATACAGTTTGTTAAAAAAAAGCAGGAAATGATCCAAAATATTATCCCATGGCAAGGAAATTGACACAAATATTTCAAATAGATGAAAACAGAATGAACAAGCCACCTACCTGATAGTAAGTACCAGTTAATCAACATGATCAAGAAGATACTTTGGATCATGGTTCACATATAATACCTATGCATTTCCCTAGAGATTGAAACAAGCTTTCATCATTACTAATAAACTGGCAATGAGTTGCATGCTATATTTCTTGTTTACTGCAAGTCATTTTTTGGATGATAAGAAGACTGCTACTATGAATCTCTTGTCATCATTGACCTATATAAAAAATTATATTTTTAGTTAAATTGAGAATATCTAAATCTTTATTTATAGTTTCTAATAAAAATTTTCTAGTTCTCCCTCTATCTCTCCTCGTATCACTAACATTTTAAGAATTTTTAAGAAAGACTGTTGCAGAAAACTAAATTCCAAACTGTGCAGATAAAATACTTCTAAAGACTTCAACAAACCTCATACAGAATGAGACCAAAAGAGAATGCATCAACGCTCATATCAAAGATTTCGTCCTTGTAAATTTCAGGTGCCACGTACAAGCCTGCCAAAATAAGTGTAATCTTTGAACTGTAAGATTACTGATTTGTAACAAGCAATATCTCTCCTATGCTCTATGCTCCTGTCAAATAAGGTCTGCAATTATTCACTGAAGATATGAAATAAGTTTCACTCATTGTTTTCACTAGTAAAATGCATAAACTTATGCAGAAAACCATTTTCAACTTTGGAAGGGTTTCAATCTTGAACATCATGACCTTGCAGACACAGATACCATTCAACCTAGTGGCTTTTCCTGTATGATCATCCATTGGAGAGTGTTTAAAGACAGCACTCCCATAAATTAGGCTAAAACAAGTGTTGAAGTGTGGCTCCTGAAAGCTCCAGTAGCTAACATGAAACTTTATTTGTTCTGCTCTATGTGATAATTTCCCAAGTTATAAAAGAAAAGAGCTATCTTTTTGTTTTGAGAGGCCAGAATAGGGATTGGTACCAGCATCAGTAATTGGGATTGAAAGGGGATTACATGACTGGGATCAGTAAGATCGATCAGATAGAAACAATGATATCAAAAGCAGCCAAAAAAAATCTAAAATAAAGAATACAATGATAAAAAGATTATAGGAACAACATTAATTATACATTAAAAAACTTCATGAAATATTTGACTTTCTTAAAAAAACACATATATCCAATAAAAACAAAAGATTCAAAATATATCCTCTTGTGATGTTCAAGATAAATGATGCAACCCATTGTATCTCAGTGTTGATTGTAATGCAAGTGACATGTTTGGTAATGCAAAGACTATTACAGTAAAAAAATTATTTAAATAGAGTGTCCTTCTTTAGGATTTTCAATTCAAATTTTAATTTGAACAGATTGCCTTCTTAAGGATTTCACTTCATCCTCTCATTTTCTCTCCTGATAATACTTCCTCTCTGTTTGACCAACAGCTAACAATAAAATTAACAACAATGTGAACTATGTATCCAATGGTTTCAGTGAATAACAAACACAACAGTATTACCATCTCCTCTATATCGGGGTCATAGTCATGTGTCTCTTTTTAAACTTTGTTTTGTCTCCTATTTTTCTGTCAAGGTTGTCAAATTGTCTCCTTTTTAACTCTGATTGGGTTATCGATTCTAGTCTTTTCCAACTAATATATGAATATAAGGCCAAGCAATTGGCTGAATATGGATAACTCTTAGAAGATACCAATATGAATTGAGCTTATTGTGTATTCTAATGAAGATAATGAGAGATGATACTGATAAATACATGATGCAAAAGATTTCAGCTTAACACAATCTAACAGTAAAAAAAATGTCTAATCCAATTTAAGAATCTGATTGTCACACTTAATTAATTCTAATGTTGCCTCAATCAATTTTCTTGTCATAAGAATTGTAACATCATTTGCGGTATACTAGTCATTCTTAATACTAGTCTCTCAAGGATTAAGCATGTCAATCCTTTCCAATTCTATGAAGTTCTTTTCACAAATAGATTCAAAGTTACTAACATAGCCAAGGACTCGAGGCACTATTCTAAAAAGACTATTTTCTCTAAAGTGAAACTAAGAATATTGAAGATTGGAACTAATTTTTAAGAATGCCATTCTCATAAATGTCAATGTGAAGGAGTAGTTTGATCAATTTCTTCAACCTATATGCTTTTTATCTATCATCTAAAGGAACAATTACCCACCAAACATGTAAACAACTTTAGCATTTCAAGAAACAAAAGTCATCATTGTTGATGTCAATCAAGCCAATCACTGATAATCTGTAGAATTAAATTATTGTATCCCATTGTAATACAGAAAATACTCACACAAGCATTTTTCACAAACAAGAACATATAGCATTCTTAAACAATACCTGCTATAATATCTATCATATGGAGCTTAAAGAACAGTCTTTAGGACAAGAAACACATATAGCATTCAAACATGTACCAACTGTAATTACCTCATGGATGTCTAAGTAATGGCAAAGAATCACTTCATAGTCTAAGACAGTGTACAAATAAATTTTTAAACTTCAAAAGTGAAAGTTTCCTGTCAAACTGTGCAATTTTGGCTGAAAGCAATACTTACTCAAGCTGTTAATTTTAGTTTTGGAATCTGCCAATTTTGATTTATCAGATGAAATTTTTGATAACTTCATTAATCCAAAACCGGCCACCTTCAATTGCCCCCCACAATCGAGCAAGATATTTCTGGCACCTTACCAAATTTCAAATATTAAAGTACAATACAAAAACAAATAAGTAAACATTGATGCAGAATAATATACGCATGAAAATGAGCTCACATCTTCATTGGTTCATCTTACTTTGGTTTTAAATCGCAATGAATGATTGGTTCTGGCTTACATTGATGAAGATAATTCATACCCCTGAATATGAAACAACAACCACAGCATCAATAAAGCCCTCCATGTTATTAAAAGTAGAGGTCTTCAATACAAATTTAGAGACATGCAATCAAACAAGAGCAGTTAGTATATTTCACACTGACTTTGATGATATCAACTTGTAAGAATCCACCTTATTTTAGGGATATTTTACTAGATACTTAACTACATTGTTGGCTTTTAAAGCACAGCTAATTGCAATTATTATTTATTGTTTATTGTTAATCACAGTGCTAATTATCAGCTCATTTGACACCATAAATTGTAAGTCATTACATCTCTTGCAAGGGGTACCACATGTGACCTTTGCTTCTCAGCTCATTTGACACCATAAATTGTTGTCATCACATCTCTTGCAAGGTGTACAATATGTGACCTTTACTTCTTTCTAACTAAATATTGTAGTTGTACATGACATCTTTTTGCTTGCAAAGGTAAGGCTATATATAGTGATCCTCCCGAGACTCACATTGGCTGAAGTGACGTGCACTACGAGCTCCTTCATCATCATGACAAGCACCTTGTGGCCAATGGAATTTTAAGTTTGATAAACTTTTAAATTTGGAGTATCATATTTGCAGCTAGTGTCTAACCATGATCCTTTTTCATTCGAAGACTGGAATTATAAATCAAATGAAGGTAAAATGTTAACAAAAACAAAGGGAGATGTACTTAGTCTTGTCATGACAAGAAAAAGGACACTTGTCAGTGTAGCACTTCACTGCCCTGAAGGAAAACTACACATTATCTCTTAAACATCAACTAAAACTTGAATGATTGGTGGGGGTGCAACTATGTTAGAGAAAAGATCCACAGAGTCGGTGACATCACTAGCTTCCACAAAGTCTTAAATCCAATTTTCTGAATAAAACATATGATGAATTATTAATTCCAAAACTTATAGCAAACAATTGTAGGAACTTACTATTAGCTTTGTATAGTCTTTAAAGTAGGTTATGACTTACCTGGCAATTTCAAGAGCAAATCTAAGAACTTTATGGGGCTGTAGACGTCCTTTCTTTTGAAGATAGCTCCCTAAGTCACCCTGAATTTCAACGAAAATACTCCAGACATTATGATCAAGAAAAAATGAAGAATCCTCGTGGATAAAATATTATGATAACCTTGTGGTGAGACAACAATTAGAACTAAGAGGCTCATATAGAAAGGCAAAAAGGACATAAACCATGAGGCAAAGAAACATGATGGTACAGAAATATTGGAACACACTGGACTCATAAATAACTTACATTTGACTGATACTCCGAAACAATCATCATAGGTACATTTTGGGTTACAGCTCCTACAAACTGAACCACATTAGGATGCCGGACCTTTTGTAACAGATTCAACTCATGCTTGAAAGAATTTCTGTAGATGAGAAACATCTTAAAAAGTGTACGAACAAAGAATCGAGAGGATGCAAGAAACTAAATGTAACACTTTGTGAAGTCTAATATACAAGAACAGAAGTGATGCTGAAATATCAGGTGGTCATTAGTGGAATAAATACAACATTGAATTTGCCACATGTAAATGACAGAAGCAAGTCATAATTTGATCCAGAGAACTTCTGAAATATAAAAATGGTTGGCCACCTATTCTTATTGCACAAATAATAACAGCTATCTTAAAGAATAGAAAAGTAGGTTAAGAATTTACACACTGTCTGGATCTGAATGGCTTTCCTTGTCAAGGATTTTCACAGAAACCTTAGTACCATTCCACTTAGCAACTTGATAAGTACCCTGACAAAATGTTGAGAAAAGAAATAAGTAAAGTTTCAACTGCTAATCAGATAAACCATCATATGACTTAAAGAAGCATCAACAAACCAATATGCGAGGAATCCATACGGATAACAGTGTGGTTCTATTGCAAGATAAATTCAGCTTGTACAATGAAAATATATAAGAGTTGGAATGCACTAAATCAAGAAATCAAAGCTCAAACACTAGAAATGATTTTTGCTGCAACAACAGTACCTTATTCAACACACTAAATTCATTATTTGCATACCATATTGACCTGTTATGGATCAACATATATCAAGTTTCACTAGCATAGAAGAACAGCCACATAGCACTCACATGTATAATCGGGCACCTTTTTTGGCCAGACTACAAGTCGCAATAAAGTCAAACTCTGTTTCTCACCAAACACTCTGTTGTTCCATCCAAAGTACAGAAACTAGATGAAATCTTGATGCGAAGTAGGAGATCATAACTACTAATTTTTGTTCCCCAAAATAAGTAGAATTTATGCTGAATATGCTGTTCAAAGCAAGGTGGTTACGCAGGGAAAAAAGTGACGAAAACATGCCTTTAGGGCCTCTTCACCTCGTCTAATCTGTATCTCCCCTGGATTTAGCTCATACTCTGGAACTTCTTGGGAATCTGACACAGCCATGGGAGTCCTCCATGTTTTCTGCAGAATTAACAAGAAAGAAAATTAGGAGGTTCTTTCTCCTAATTAAAAGAAAAAAATGTCTTAGAGGGACCAAAAAGAATACCGGAGCTTTGGCTCCTCGAGCTCTTAAGATGTTGTAGACTTCAACATTGCCATAGCACTTGGCATCTGCAGCAGCCTACTATGCAGCAAAAATTGTTATATAGTGTAAAATCCCCAAATTAAATCAGATATCACCGAAGAGCATGAACTACTTCAATTCGGGTCTCTTGCAATAGGTTTAGCGAAGGCTCGTTGTTTTTCTGACCTAATACTAATGAACACATGGAAGCAAATGAGAAATCATAAGCAGAAAGGTGGGATTTTTACCGTGCTGCCCCATCGATCCCTGGCATCTACGTTGACTCTCCAGCTCAGCAGCAGCTTCACGACGTTGACATGCCCCTCACACGCCGCTATATGCAACGCCGTCCTGCCGTCCAGATCGATGCTATTCACATCGACGCCGCACCTGAGGAGCTCTTCCATCCCCTTGAAGTCCCCTCGGCTGGCCAAGAAAAGGAGCTGCATGGTGGAATCCAGGTTCTCTGGCACCGTGAGCTCCTCCCTGGCGGGGCTGCTGCTCCTGCGGTTCGGGTCGAGCGAGGACTGCCGCCCGAAGCTGAACCGGATCACGTTGCTCAGCCGATGATCGAAGGAGCGGTTCCGCTGGAAGGTGAACCGACCGCTTCTCCTCCCGGAGCCCCCGGAGAGCTGCCGCGAGACGACGCGGTTGAGCTGGGGGGACGCCTGCTCCATCTCCCTCGATCAAAGGAAAAGCCCCAACCCCACTAATCAAGAAGACAGAGACAAAAAAACGAATGGAAAAATCACATCTTTGGAAGAGAGTTTCGAAGGAGATCGGGATGCAGACCCCAGGTTCGATCGAGAACCAGGGCGGGGAGGAGACTTGGAGGAAGGCGGGAGGTCGAGGAGAAGGAATCGGGGTGGAAGTGGGTATGAATTAGCGGAGGGGAGGGAATGGAGGAGGAGTTGAGGTGGGGAGGAGATTGGAAACCCTAGTTTTCCGGAGGGAAGGGGAGGGAAATGTTACAGCTTTTATAGTTGGGAGAAAGCACCGCCAAATAACGGTAAGATTGAAGCCACAGCGCGCCATTTTTAAATCCAGAAATATATATATATATATATATATATATATATATATATATATATATATATATATATATATATATATTGAAGCCACAACGCACCATTAGTTTTGGGAATAATTATAATCACTGATAATTTCTCCCTTAACATAAATTATTTTTTATAAATGATGTATTGCTTTATTATTAACTTGTATGTATACTATAGTTAATGAAATGATTAAATTTGATTTCTTTAATCATGTGGATAAGTTAAGAATTTTATTAATCAATTAAATTATTAATTAATTTATTTCCGAATGTATGATTTGATTTTTAGGAAGTAAATAGTTTACATTCCATTTTCTTGTGTGAACTATAAGAAATAAATATTATATTTCTCTCTTTTATGTGTGAATGGAAAAAATAAATTAAAAATAAGAATTAAATTATTACTTATCTTTTGGGGAGATCTCATTTTCTCTTATATAAAGGGGACTACTCCTCTCTCATTCTTCACTGGGCCTAACAATGGGAGGATTAAGGAGAGGATTTTCCGAAGAGATGATATCGATTAAAGGATAGTCTAGGAGAGGTAAGATTTTTTTTTTTAAACTAGCTTTAATTCATATTTTTGAAATATTGATGTTGAGATTGTTATAATTTTATGATATGGTGTTTTAATTTCAAATTTTTATTATTAGTAAATAATGATAATTATTTTGTGATGTTAGAATGATTATTTGATTTATATTGATCTATGAAGCTTAAGTAAATTTTGATATTTACTTAATTATTAAAATTATTATTTTTGGATTAGCATAATAGTTTTAATTTATTTAATTAGATATATCTATGTTTTTAAGAAGTACCTATGAATTTCTATAATGTAATTAGTTTTAAATTTAAAATCATAAATTTAAAGTTTTAATTAATGGATTTGAGTCATTCTTTAATTGTTTTAAGAGGATTTTAATTGGGATCTAACTTGAGTCAGGTTGATCTATTAGTCTAGATTGACTCAGCCTATGTGGTTTTGTACGACCTAGCCCATGTGACCAAGTACAGCTTAGTGCATGTGTCTAGGCATAGGTAAGAGTCAGCCCATGTGACAAGGTACGACCCAATTCATATGGTCAGGCATGACTCGACTCATGTAGCCATGTATGATCCAGTCCATGTAACTATATATATCCCAACTTATGCGGCTAGGTACGATCCAATCCATGTGGTCCGATACGACCCCAACTCATGTGTCTATGTACAAATAACTCGCGAGCCAAGCATGGCCTAGTTCAGTAGTAAGGCTCAGCTCAACTTATAAATAAGGCTTAGCTTAGTCTATAAAGTTAAGCCTGCCCAACTATGTGATTGCCATTAGATACATCGTTGCTCCTCTATCTAGCCCGTTGTACCTTAACTCAACCTATTACTTGGAATAGACATATGCAGCGTATGTGACCCGTCTAAGACTTAGGTGGGTTGGTTCGATTTAGGCTAGCACTATACAACATAGTCTAATTTCCTCTCCCTTTATTGGTTTAATCTCGTTAATTGATTAAATCAGACATGTTTGATTGATTAAAGTCGGTGGTTCCAGACTAACTTGACTAGTTTAAACCTACTTAATCTAATCGAGATCAATCAAATCTAGATTAGACCAGTCTAGGGTGATTTTAGATCGATTCTATAAGGATTTAAGGTTGATTCCATTAGATCATAATCGAATTGAGTTTGGTTTAAGTCAATTGAGCTATTCCAATTAGGGTTTTGTTGATTAAGGACTATTAAGGTATTGATGTTTCATGTCTTTATGATTTGATTAATTTAAAGGTTTTATTTAAAGATGTCATTTGAAAATGATTATTAGTTTTCTAATTTCTTAAGTTTATGATATTGATATGATTATTATCATATAGTAGATGTGACTATGCTAGTAGTTCACATTCGAAGTGCGACTTGTGAAATGAGCTACGAGCCCATCATAGTGTGGAGCCACTAATGAACACAGTCTAGTATATTTACATCAAGTATGGTGTCTCATAATATTTAATTATATTAATTTCTTGATGCATTCATGAGTGAATGAATGAGTGTAAATGAATGATCATAAATATTTATGTATCCATATCAAGGGTAAGTATGATGATTCCTTTCGAGGATTAGTGAGCCATCAAACGTGATGGTTAGACGGTTCCTCCATCCGTTGTTGGGAGGAACATGTCTCCACTTGGACGGGTGAGGGATATCACTCCATCCGCTGTTGAGAGTGTGATATGGATTATCTCCATCCGTTGTTGGGAGGATTTCATCTCGTGGAATATGTCTATCCATCCACTATTGGGAGAGTGCACCTGTGATGTACGCATTTGTTATCTAGTTATTATATATATGTTATATGTGGTTGATGCATGATTGTGTTTATTATGTAAGAAATTATCATCGTTTTTTCGGTGCATAAGTTTTATGATGAATCGATATATTATCATTTCTTATTGAATTATTAATATTTGTTTATATTTTATGAATATTAAATATTATTTTTATGATTTTTCTGAGATTCCTACCAACATGTATGGTTGTTGATATGTTTTTATCTTATATTTATTTTCAGAGTTATCTACTACTTTGTAATAGATTTGAAGCTTGGGTGGAAGAGACTTGTGACCCTACCAAGAAGATTTGATTATTTTTCTAATAGAATATTTACTATTGTAAATATAATGATTTGAATTCAAAAAAATAAAAGTGGAAGTTTACTATGTAAATTATGGATAATAAAATACTAATTTATTATTCTTTTTATAAATATGGGATGTGATAATAATCCTACTAACTCAAATAGGAGCCAATTGGACCTTAATCAGGGCTGAATTTGGCCTACTATTTAGCCCATTCAATGACCTGGAGCCATGTCAGGTGGTGGCACCGCTAGGGCTAGCGGTAGAATCGCTTGAGGCTTGGCCTCCTAGAACTTGTTTGGGCAGTGGTACCTGTAAGGATCGAGTCGGTACTAAGAGGGGGGGGGGGGGGGGGGGGGGGGG